GGGGGGGGGAGGAGGGGTGTGCGTGGGTGAAGGCGCAGGTGGAACGCAGCCCTGCAGGGGGCGCCGCGCCAGGCCGCCTGGTCGAGATCAAGCTCGAACCGCGGGCCGAGACTCCAGCAGCGGCCGGAGCTGTCAGATGTCAGAGAGCCTGGAGCTCCCAGGGCGTCGCTGCTCAGCCAACCAGGCGGAGACATGGGAGAGCAGCAGGGCTGGGGGGCTGGGGGTCCGGGAGAGGGAGAGCGCCCACAGACAGCAGCTCCCGAGAAACAGGAACCCCGATAACCCAGGGGCCTCGCCCACTTCCAGTTCCACTGTCCCAGTCTGCCCCTTCCCCTGCACCCAGAGGCCAGTCTGCCCCCTGCCCTGCCCCCAGTCCGGTGGCCCAGAGTCAGACGCCAGCCCACCGAGCCCCGTGACCTACAGGTGACCTTCCCACCCTCTGACATGACCTCCCATGAGCCTTCACACTCCAGTCCAGCCAGTCGGTCAGTGCCAACATTGCACAGGGACAGGGACGTGAGGCGTGTCTGTGTGTGTGTGTGTGCGCGTGTGTGTGTGTGTTTCACAGTTATCTTAAATCATCTTGAAATTAAGAAATTCAACCATGATGATCTCTTCGTTTCTCAATCATTTATATAAAAAAAACGAACAACAAAAAACCCGAACAACTCAACGTCGATTCGTCCGTGTGGTTCTGGCGTCTGGTCCCGAGGGCAGGGGCGCACTGCCGGGGGGGAGGGGGGAGCGAGGGGGACGCCTTCGCCCAGTCAGTGACCCCACAGCTCTCAATTAACCCAGTGACCCCACCCGTGACCCCACACACCCCCTCGCTCCCCGCGCCCCTGCAGGCTGGGGGGCCAGAGGTCCGGGCCTGCGATGAAGCGTCCCTCGGGCTGGTCCAGTCTCTCGCCCCCCCGGATCCGGCCCGGTATTACCGGAGCAGGATGGTCCAGTCTGCAGCCACGTTGACGGCCGGCTTGCGCAGGGTGAGCACCGAGGCCCTCTCCTCGAAATCGAACTCCAGGGGGGACTGGCTGCCGTCTGGGGGGAGAGGAGGGGATCAGCATGCAGCAGTCCACAGCCATGACCCCCCGGAGAGGGGGTCACACTGACCCCCCGAGACACACCGACCCCCGGAGGAGAGGGGGGGTCACACTGGAGCCCCCGAGACACACTGACCCCTGAAGCAGGGGTCACACTGACCTGGGATCAGCAGCAGAGCAACGCTGGGGCGGCTGGCCCCCAGAATCACCACCCTCTCCACCCAGGAGTCCGAGGAGAAGTGACCGCTGGGGTCAGCGTTGCTGCGGAGAGAGAGAGGGGGGGGAGTGAGTGCCCGGTGCTCAGGGCAGCAGGGTGAAGAGAGAGAGGGGGGGGCTGTGAAGACGAGGTACACGTACTGGGAGCTCAGGGTGCCGCGGGCGAAGACGAAGCGCCGGTGGATGAACTGGTGCTCGCTCTCGAACCGGAAGGTGTGCTCGTCGTCCACAAACAGCTCTCCCTCCGCCTCCCCCTGCCGGACAGCGAGAGGACCGGTCAGGGCACTGTGGCCCGCCCCCACACACCTGACACCCCCCGCAGGGGACCCCACATACCCCCACACCAGTGAAGAGGTGAAAGACCGGAGCGACACCCCCCCCAGCCTCGAGAGAGAGAACCCTCCCCCGCCCCCCCAAGGGTACCTCAGGGCTGAGGGCGACGTAGAGAGTGTAGGGGTCACTGGTCATGCAGGACGATGACCTCCGCACCCTGTTCTTCCTGGGGACGATGGAGCCGCCCCTCTGGAACACCGGGATCTGCAGTCAGGGACAGGATGTTAGGACTCTGCCGGAGCCTCCCGGGACACTCGCGCCAAGGTCCGGAGAGGAACCGGGTCGGGTCCGGTCGGGTCGGGACTTACCGAGCTCAGGGTGACGGGGATGTAGAGGTGCTGACCACCGCTGTGCTTCTGGAAGGTGTGGACATCGTACCAGACCTGGGGGAGACAGGGGGAGAGAGAGAGACGCGTCACACACAGGGG